TACACACGAATACGCACTAGCATGAATGTCTCTTATGACTCACTAGACCTCGTCAAAGGAACCAATCATAAAGAGGAGGGCGGAAACAAGGGAAACAGTGATGCTTGCGATGGCCCATCATCTGTTGCCTACGCCGGAATGAAGAGAACACCTTCAGTCAGAGATCGCAGAGTACTTATATTTGTCAACGCCTACTTCATGCTGGCTGTCTTGGCAGGGAGCATACAGTGTTAATAACAGCAAGATGGGTACGTTGTGCAGTGAGCTAAAATAATGACTTATCCGTCAGGGATTGGCCCTCTAGCAGGGGTGTCGTTTTAAGTTACGTTTGGCTGCGGAATGTTCCGTTTTGGCGCCGCAGGGATCCTGGCCAAACAGATCGCCAGAGTCTTCATTTTCTACTTGTCGGTACAACGCATGCCTCCGTCTCTACAGAGCGGCGCATCGCACTGCTTATAACTATAAATTATATTAGAATAATGTTCACTTTCTTGCTGGTACTCAATGGTTACGGCAAAATAACCTTTTTCTTATTAGACGACCAGAGAGCTCAGGATCCTCACCTAGACCCTGAATTGCAGTGAGATGCGAAGTAGATAGAGGTGGGGCGCGCTAAAACGCAACACTTCCGCTGTAACGGGCTGGGCCGTTGAGGGATGGCGCCGTTGAGGTGCACTCGGCTGACACCGATGCAATAACGCCACCAAATGAAGGTCTCACAATCTGCCCCTGAGCATGGATCTATGTAAACAGGTAGCCAGCTCCTTGAGGTTCTTCTTCTCTGCAATGCAATCAATTTGTTGGTTTGTAACACGCTTCTGACTGGATAAGCCCCGTGCCCCTTACACCCGCAGTCGAAAGGGTAGAGACGCAAAATGGCATTGTTAATTCAGCGTGTCCTATGATTGCCCCTCCGACTTCTTGCCAGGAAGATTATCGCTGTGAAGAATTCTCCACTTGCTGCCATGAAGACTCCGTAAAGGCTCCCTCCCGCACCATTGAAGCAGATAGTGACAACTGTAATACCATGCCCTCCCATGGCTGCCAGCCTGTCCTCCCGCCGCATGCCCTCCCATGGCTGCCAGCCTGTCCTGCAGACGCCGTGGTACACCCACTTTGTTGGTTTGTCTTAATCGTGCCCGCCCCACAATGTAGTTGGCTCGTTACTTATGCCTCACCACCTTTATTATATGGGCGCGAAATCGACAGTAACGTAAAATTTCCCTCATGGCGTGTCTTGCATCCGAGGAAATATCAGCTGCTGCACCTGAACGTGTTCAGATTCATATTGGGAAGCACATCAACAACACTGTCAAAGGACTAGAGCTGGTCCGTGAGGGGTATAACCAATGAGAAGGGCTTCAGATAAAAAGGTTATGTCTTGCCGCTACTCTCAACTACGGTGCAGAATGGGATTGCCTAGCCTGATGACATCTGGCGGAGAGAAAACATGCATGGAGGAGAGAACAAGCTTGACGGCCTGAACTTCCGGGCTACCTTTGCAAGTCTTGTTGGTCCCGGCACTAATGTCGTAACGCCATCCCGGCAACCCACACAATTTTGACTTGACAGCTTGATGCTATGCAAGGTCCGAGTCAAATGGTGAGACACGGCCAGCAATGGCCTTGTGTCTGACAATTGTGGGGTCACAAGCCCGGTGTCGGGCCACACTTGTTTGCATGAATGGCCTCAAAATCCACTTACGAATAGTTAACTAGTTACATGAGTGTACATTGTTGGTAGAAGATGTGTTACATCCACTAGGTACGTACTTGGCTACAACGCCGTACTACCTCGTACAAAGGGGGGCGGAAGCAGTGGTTCCCGCCCTTTGCCATAATCATGTCTTATTTACGCCAACGAGACATATAGAGCCCGTTACGAATGATGCTGCCTGAGGCAGAACCCATTGGCGATAGTTGCCTTAAAAAAATCCACCGGTTGAATTGCCTTTCATGCCCACCAAGATACATTGTTTTGAGTCATGATGGTAAAGCTTTTACGTCAGTGGTATCGGTTCCTCGATCTTCCAGTGCAATGCTCATCATGGTACAGAGCTCGATTGAAGGAGGAACTGATCGAGAGACACGCTGCGCGCACCACCCTTCAACGACTGAGCGAGACTTCTGACGTGTTCTATATTCTTGGAAGAGCACAATGTGACGGATACCCCTTGCGACGCCCCCCGGCAGCGAACTGTCTCAAGCACCTACCTATTTACGCTTATATGATATGTAAATATACCTCAAGATGGGTATTTTACCGGACTGCCGCTTTTTCATGTGGCTCTGGGAGCTGGCGCCAGGTCAGAGAAGTGGTCAACCCTCACCGCGATTTCAAGATTCGGGAGGTTGCATCACGCCATGCAGTCGACTTGAGCAAATTTGAGAGGGTGTGTCATGCTTTACGGCAAGTGTGGCCGTTGCTTCCATAATACTGGCTAAATGAAACGAAGACAACGCGCAAGATTGCCTCAGAAGCAACTGCCTTGCTTTTTCGGCCAACGCATCATGTGGGAGGCCGACCAAATGTAACACCACCCAGGCGACCGCGAGTCTCTCCTATCAAATCTTGTCAATTCTGGGGAATTACAGTGATCGAGGTTTTGGCCATCCCGGTTGCCGCTCCTCCTCGACAACATACTTTATGACTATACATTAAAGTCTCTTCGACATTACGACTCCGAGCAATATTAATACAATCTTTGTTGTTTCTTGGCTACGTACTTACCAATTTGAACTTGCGCTGCACTCATTTCTCAAGTCCTTTTGAAATTCCCCTACACAGCTTCGTATACACGTCGGTCAAATAATTTATCACTATGCCCTCAAAAGACATGAGACCCGCCGTGATTGGGCTTTATGGATTGCCCGGCTGCGGCAAGTCGTTTCTATTGAATGAGCTCAAGAAGCACCTCAGCCACAGCGAGTACGCATTTTTTGAAGGTTCCGATGTAATTTCCTCCATCGTGCCAGGGGGGTTAAGCACATTTCAGGAACTGGAAGAAGAGCAGAAGCAGCTATGGAGAGGATTTGCAATCGACAAAATTGTTTCTGAGTGCCAAGATAGTGCAAAGACCGCTGTTGTCGCCGGACATTTCATGTTCTGGTCTCAGGGAGAGCTGGCTACCGTCTGGACTCCCAAGGACAAGACAGCCTATACCCATATAATGTATCTGGATGTTCCAGAAGGGATTATTGCGAAGCAACGACTCGACGATGTGCATAGACATCGTGCAGAAATTCCATTGGCAGAACTAGCAAGATGGCAACAGGCGGAGATAGACCAGCTATCACACCTCTGTCAGAGGCACGGCATTTTGTTCTCGCGCTTGCCTGAACGATCACGCAGTCATATTGCCACTGTTTTGAAGCTTATTCAATTTTCAAGTCTGGTCATTACGGAGGCAAATGCGACGAGAGTCGACGCCAAAGTCAACAACTTCCTGGCCGACCATGCTGAGCTCGAAACAGTGGTGGTTGTTGATGCAGACAAGACTTTGTCCTCAGAGGATACGGGTGTTGTGTTCTGGCAATCTCTGGACCTACGCCGGCCCCCCCTTGACGCACTCAAAGCCCAAGATTGCCCTCTGTCTGATTTGTTCAGTGGCCCTCTTGGCTATTCCGAAGCTGCGTTCCTCCAGGCGACGCTGCTATATGAGGAAGCGGCCAATGAAGAAGACTTCGAGCGCATTTGTGATATTGTCGCGTCAAAAACAAAGATGTACGCTGAATTTGTATCACTTTTCCGATCTATAGCATGTCATGACTATGTGCGAGTTTTGGTCGTGACTTGCGGAATTCGTCGTGTCTGGGAGAAGATTCTACATAGGGAAGGATTCTCGCGAACAATCCAGGTCATCGGAGGGTCGAGAATCTCAGATGGCGTTATCGTCACGGCAGACGCCAAGGCTCAGGTTGTTACAAGGTTGCGAAACCAGGAGAATTTACGAGTCTTGGCCATTGGCGATAGTCCTCTAGACTTACCGAT